GGTGGAAAAGGTGAAACACCCACACCTGCCTCCACCCTCATTGGCCCCACCCTGGTCCCCTGAGCAAGGCACTCAACCCCCACCATCTGCTCCTAAACAGGTCTCTCTTTAAAATGAGTTCTCGTGACCCAATGAGACTACCTGGATAAATAAAGGCTAAATGAAAAAATAAAAGTTTAAAATAGAAATACTCACATCATGAGGCCAAGGTTGTGTGTGTGACGTGCACGTTCCTGAGAGTGTGTGTGTGACGTGCACGTTCCTGAGAGGCCACAGACAAAGCAGCTCCAGCTTTTGTTGAGTTCCTGTAGTCCTGCAGTTTTCAAGCTGAAATGAAAAAAACATAATAAATATGAAATTTACAGTCTATAGTTACCTGTTCATATAAACACATGGAGGTGTCTCACCTTGTGACTGACAATAAAATATGTATATTTATGAACTCTAATGAACTTATAATGATGCTCCTACTCTTTGAAGATGAACCGATGGTACCACACCATCTCTCAGTCGGACAGTCTGATCAGTTTGATCAAAATCCTCCAGTTTAAAATCCTCACTGCTCAGATGAATCCTCCTCAAAGATACTTCCTCCTCTTCCTCACATCTTGTTCTCTGGGAAACCTTCAAAATGAAAACAGGAGATTTGTGTCTAAACAAAAACTAACATACATACAAAAACAACTTAAACAAAACTCCAATTCTGATACATATCTCTTGATAATGAACCAAAGCTATGAAATAGTGAGTATGCTTGTTAGAAAAATATTCCTGTCATCAGATCTCAGTCAGCTTCATTGCAGCTGAACACCGTGATACACTGAACATAACATCAGCTGGTGGACATAAATACAGTACAGTAATATTATATTCACAAAATACTAACAATACTATGTTCATCTTACTTGTGAAAAGTTATCCCCCGAGACCTGACGTCAACAGTCCGTCGATTAGAACAGAAATAAGCTGCGAAGTGCTGAGACATCTTCTGCTTTAAACAAATAAGGACGACCGTTTCAAGATGGCGGCCGAAAATCCTGCGCCGCAGCAGTCAATGCGGGATCTAGTGTTTATATCTATGGTTTAAAGTAAACGCAAAAAAAATAAAAAAAAAGTAAACGCAAAGACGAAACATCTAATTTAATAATATTTTATAATAAATTTTCATCTAAAAAGAAGACTATAGTCAGTGACACTAGCGACTATACACAAACGAAATATAAATGTCATTCGTAAAAGAACCGGAGAAAGGCTTGAATATATCTGGACCACAATGCATTGCGTCGCAAAATTGCCTTTGCGCATGCACATTAGCGTCCTAAAACGTTGTTGTTGTTCCGTCGCTTCCGTTACGTAGTTTACAGCGAGGAGCGGAGGTATGATAAATGTTCTGCTTTTTAAATATTTTTAGACGTACCGAGTATAATATGTTTATATCAAGGACATGTTTAGTATTAGTTGAAATAATTCATAGTAACTTTTAAGTCTTGGTCCACGAGCAGACAGTTTAGCAGTCATGTGTTAGCTTTAGCCTGTTAGCTAACGTGATTCAGTTGTCTTCTTTTGCCTTCTGAATTTTTTTAACTGAAAATGATATAAGAATGGAGTCATAATTATTGTTAAGTTGTTGAATTGTTTTCAAGACATCCCTTGGTCACTTGGTGAAGGTTTTGTTCATAAATGCTACAATTTCTGGGAAATATGACAAAAAGATATATTCAGAATGTTTATTTTACCTTGTGGATAGTTGATGTTAATTTATTCAAATTAAATGTTATCATCTTAATGGTCAGACAACAACATTGTAAGAACTTTAATTCGGCCTTAGTTGGAGATAAGATAAGATACAACTTTATTGTTCACAAAGTTGGAAATTTTCCTTATTATTTAGATTACATTAAAACCTTTTTAAGATAAACAAAATAAGCCATTACTTTTTATCATACCTATCCACCCACATTTTAATGCTGATACTTCCGCAGATAAGTAATTGTTCAGTTCAATTTATTTATATAATGCCAAATCACAACAAAGTTGTCTCAGGGCACTTTACAGGAACATTCACATAAAAGCCATTTAGTAAAGTTCTCTATCTAGGGAAGCAGCAGACACGTTGAAGCTTCACTTTGTCACAGTCTCCCATCCTGAGCGAGCACAAAGGCAACAGTGGAAAGGAAAAACTCCCTTTTTTAAAAGGAAGAAACCTCCAGCAGCACCAGGCTCAGGACAAGCGACCATCTGCTTTGACCGGCTGGTTTGAGAGGACAGGAAGGAGGAACAGATACACAATGGCAGGTCCAGATATAGGTGCAGGTGTACCTAAAAGACAAAAACACGTACAAAACAGGTTGAGCAGAGTAAGTAAAGACAGTAGCATAGTGAAGAAATGTGGTCAGTTTGTCCTCCAGCAGTCTAAGCCTATAGCTATGTAACTAAGGGACAGTTCAGGAAACCCAAGCCGACCCCAACTATAGGATTTATCAAAAGGAGAGTCTTAAGCCTACTCTTAAAACTGGACAATTTGTCGGCCTAATTGTTCTCTTCATAGTTGTTTTTTCACCCTGAATTATAAAAACACTTTAAATAATACAAAGTTTGTTTTCTCAGTCATCCAGGTATATAACAACAAAAAAGGTTGAATCATGTCATCTGGACTTCGTTTTTTTTGTTAAAAATAACTTTAAATAATGTGTGTATTGAAATTGCAGTGACAAATTAAACTTCTTCAAAGAGTGGCATGAGCAAGCTTTACTTTCAGCCTGCTATCCTGGTTACAAGTTATATTTCTGGTGATAAAATATGAACTGAACCCTGATCGTGTGTGTTTGCAGGCTACAGAATGTCGCTGTACGATGATCTCGGCGTCGGTGCCAGTGACACCAAGACAGAAGGCTGGTCCAAGAACTTCAAGCTGTTGCAGTCGCAGCTGAAGGTGAAGAAGGCGGCTCTGACCCAGGCTAAGGTACAGCTCACACTCTAAATACTGTAGTACACACAAAGAAATTAGAGAACGAGTTCATTGTGACAAACTGCAGGGCATATTAATTCAAAGACTTCATGGGTTTCTGTTCATGCTTCATTTTAAAGTTTGCATTATTTTTATTTGAGTTTCAAAAGATCCAGTTTCATTTACCCTCTTGAAGTGGTCCTGACGTTCTTGTTCTTGACTATTATCATCATATTTTCTGTTTTTAACCCGTCAGTGTATAAAGCTAAAAAATGTCACATAACTCAACAGTGATTATGTTTTTTTATATATATAAAATAAAACTTTACAAAGTATCAATTTTGTTTTGTTTTAGTGTTCTGTTATTACAACGATCCTGTTGCTTATTTTTGGTTGAATCCATAAAAAATTGAAAAAGTTTACATAGTTTTCCTCACATAATAAATGGTAAATGGATTGAACTTATATAGCGCCTTTCTTTCTTAATATAATAGTGTTTTTGTACCAACAAAGTGAGCTATAAACACCTGTGAGTAATATGAAAATACAAAATCATTGTTCATCTTTCAGGGAGAAACCTGATCCTGGATGTTTTTTGAGGGGCTTCTGTTTATTTTGTTTATCAGATTGCTCTGAAAGTGAACTCGTACAAATTTTTACCTAAATAATTGTAGAAACATTAGTGTTAATAGACTTTTTTTTCTCCCCCTCTGTTGCATTTTCTAAAAGATTCTATTAAATATTTTAAAGGTTGTTTAGATGGCAGTGGTCGTGCAGAGGTTAGAGAAGATGGGCCTGTGATCGGAAGATCGCTGGTTTTACTCCCGGTATTGATAACATCAAAATGTGGGTGGGATAGGTGAAGCACTCACGCCTGCCTCCACCCTCATTTGCCCCACTCTGTATGGGCCCTTGAGCAAGGCCTTAACCCCCACCATCTGCTCCCCATGGCACCCTAGATATCAGCTCTCTGCTCCACACAGAGGGCTGTGGTAGCTCTGTGTCTGTGGTTACATCAGGAAGGACATCCAGCGTAAAATAATTGCCAAGTCAGTTATAATCATTAACATTAAAATAAATATTTGAAATATATCAGTCTGTGTGTAGTGAATGAACATAATATACACTTTTTGAATAGAATTACTGAAATAAATCAACTTTTTCACGATATTCTTAATTTCATGACCAGCACCTGTATATTGCACATAACTAATATAAACGACACAGGTTGTGTGACATGTTATTGCACAGGTAGTGAGTAACAACACGATGAATTATGATGGTAAGGTAGTGACATACACGATACAGCCACATCGTGCAGCAGCAATAAACATATTGGGTGCCACAGATGTGGCTTGGTGCAATGTTACTGTCAGTTGTTTTAAGTATTGTAACAAAATCTGCAGCTCCGGTGGTTTGTGCCTTTTATTAAGTCAAATTATGTGTGTGTTTGTGTGTGTGTGTGTGTGTGTGTGTAGACCCAGCGGGTAAAGCAGACCACAGTTCTGGCTCCTGTCATCGATCTGAAGAGAGGAGGAAGCGGTGATGATCGGCAGAACATCGACACTCCTCCACACGCAGCAGCTGGACTCAAGGTCTGTCTCACCTCGCATTAACCACGTGTAGATGTTCTCTCGTTGCCCAGCTGACTAATTTAGTAACTTTTATGATCTGACGGATTCTAGAATTCATTCTAGAATTGCGCCGCTCAAGGTGGCTGCATGTTGGAGTAGCTCTCTTACGTTCATTCTGACATTTTGCTTTTGAAAACTTGAACTATTCTTTTTTTCTGGATGTAAATCACTATTTTGGATGAATATTTCTTCTGGTTTTGGACGCTGTGCAACTGGAAGGATTTTTACTGAAACCTTTTTACTTTTGGACGTTTGTTATGATGCGTAACCATGGCAACAAGGTGGCTTTCTATAACTGGAAGTTGCTAATTAACTTCTCAAAAGCTCAAATAACACCTAAACTACAGCCCCAAATCCCAAATGAGTTGAAAAGGAGGTGCCGTGGATGCATTCCCATCTACCTAGAGGTGGCGATTAAGTACCTGACCACCGAGATCTTGGAGGTAGCGGGAAACGTGGTTCGTGACAGCGGGAGGACCGAGGAGTTCTGCCCGGCATTCAGGTGGTCCTGCTGCCCAAGAGGACCGAGAGGTCTGCTGGGTCTGGGTGGAGGGATCGGCATGGGCAACCAGTTTTTTCAGATTCGCTGTGGGACAGACTGCTACAAGAAATCCTTCCTGGCCACAGCCATCAGCATCTATAACAACTCTAATGAAATCTGGATGAGCTACAACAACAATTAATTTCATTTTGGGATTAATAAAGTATTTTTGAATTTGATTGCAGCTAGTTCAAATATCTGTTTTGTTCTTGCTGCAGGATGCCACCCCCAGCGGTTTCTCCGCCGGCGACGTGCTCATCCCCTTGGCCGACGAGTACGACCCCATGTTCCCCAACGACTACGAGAAGGTGTTGAAACGCCACCGAGAGGAGCTTCAGCGCAAAAGAGAGCAGGAGCGACAGAAGGAGATAGAAGAGAGGGAAAAGTACTGCCACGTTTTCCTTCTTACTCGCCTCATGAACGGGCCTTAATGTTTTTAGGGGACTGTGATACAGCTGTTATTATCTGTAGCTACAAACTCATTTAAAGCTCAACAATAAGACTAAATCTGAACTTTTTCAGGAGGAGGAAAGAACGGCACGAAGGGGGCGCTCCAAGCGGCTTCTCTCGTTTCCCGGCAACAGAGGAAGATTCAGACGATGAGGAGGAGTACGAGAAAGAGTGGAGGAAAAGAAGTGAGTACTTCTTACCATGACTGATGTATGCGTGTTTTTACAATACCACCCTATTAATAATCAGTCTTTGGAGAGAGCAGTGAGGGAACTAAAATGATTAAATGCTGTATTTTTCATTAAGCATTAAGCGAAACAAGTTCATTTTGACAATTTTGACCAATTGTTTGCAATGCTGCTACATTAGAAGGGACAAAGCCAACTTTATCTTGTTAGCAATTATAAACTGTGACTCGTACTTTTACTTCATTGCGTCTAAATTGTTACAGCTTTTTTAATCTTGTTTAAACCAACTCTGTTTCTCATTAACTGTTAGTGGAAATCTCAGCAAGACCTTCTCATGTCACCCTGCTCTGTTTCTCTACGGAGTTCCTATAAAATTCAGAATTAGTCTCTTCCTTCTTGTAATGTAGCTGTTAAAATGTGTTCTATGAATAAAAATGTTCTTACTTCCTGCATCTTGGATCACTCTATGCAGTGATTGGGATAAAACAGTTTTAGTCGTCTTTTTTTTTCAAAACTAGAACATTAAATACGTTTGTTTTTTGTTGTTTTATTCCAGGTATGGGTGGAGCAGCTATTGCCCCTCCATCGTCACTTGTGGACAAAGATGGTGAGTTTGACGACGCGTCACGTATTTTAGATTGCAACAGGTTGAGGACTTACCTATAATAAGATCCAATATGAACAAATGTGACTGAATCCGAGTTCTTGTGGAAATCTAACTAAACTTGGTCCTTTGCTGTTTGTACTTTGTAGTCTTGAGAGGAATGTTAAAAACTTGTTTGTTTTTTACTTTAAAATGTTTTATTCTTATAATAATAATAATTATTATTATTAAATTTTAAATGAAACCAAACCAGAGCAGCCTGAATCAAAAGTAGCAGTTGTCCAGCAGGGGGCAGCATTGTCTTTTAAATAGCTACATCTTCAAAAGAACTCTTTGAAATAGATGTTTTTGTAAGAGTCGACCCACCAACATTTTATTTATTTACAATATGCTTTTTCATAAGTATATTTATTTCAATAACCTGTTTAGGCTCCTCAATTTCCCACGAAGACGAGGGTCGTCCTGCCCGAGGCTCGAAGGCGGCCATCCCTCCACCGATGTACGACGACTCCGACCGGCCGCGCTCACCGCCTCTACCATCCAGCTCGTTCTTGGCGAACATGGGGTGTGTGTGTGCTGCTTTGTTGTTTGATTTCAAACAAAATGCTTCGTGACACATGTATGTGAACCTGCGTACGTCCTACAGAGGCACCGTGGCCCATAAGATCATGCAGAGGTACGGCTTCAAAGAAGGTCAGGGTCTGGGGAAGCACGAGCAGGGCCTGAGCACGGCGCTGTCTGTGGAGAAGACCAGCAAGAGAGGCGGGAAGATCATCGTGGGCGACGCTGCAGAAAAACGTAAGTCCCGCTTTGATGTTCATCTCTTTTTTTAAATTCTTTAAATTGTTTTTATTTTTCAAGCATGAAAATTACTTCTGCTTCCATCTGCTTTTTATCCTGTTCAACTTGATGTTTTCTGTGTAGATATTTTGCTCATAAATTAATATTTTCTGTCTGTTTTAGTTTAAATTTGAAGGCTTACAGTAACTTTGTGTGTGTTTTTGTGTTTGTGATTGAGCAGCAGGGCCCAGCCTGTTAGTTGGTCCTGAGACTTCAAGCCCTGCAGGTTGGTCGCTCTCTTATTGTCTTTCTCTCCCATAATCAGAATACAGTGCACGGCTCATGTTTAACCTTTTTTTTTTTAACGTGTTTGCACGTGTTCAGCTCCATAACGTCTTGAGTCTTTTTTCAAGCCTCCGTGTTGTAGGTAGGGCAGTCCTGCTGACAGAAATAAATGCTGTTTGTTTGTTCTGCACCCTCTTCACATCACAGCTGACTTCTTAAAAACACATTTAGCTTCCCTCAGGAGGGATCACCTTCACAACACGCTGTTCGGTGCTGGCCCAGTCCGGACCACAAGTTTCTCCTTAAACCAGTGCTTCTCATTTATTTTCTGTTACCCCCCCCCCCCCCCCCCCCCCCAGAGAGAAGTAAACATTTTGCGCCCCTCAACTCTCCACCGTGACTAAATCGTATCATTTGTCTATAAAATTGTTATAAGTACACCTCTGCATAACATTGTACCCTTATTAACATTAAACAAAACAACAAAGAATAACTTTATTAACATTATTTTTTAGTCTTTAACAGAACATACTTAAAGTGCATCAGTTTGCCTGAAATAAAAAAATATATCTTTATTTAAACTAAACATTTTTGACCATTTGATACTGAAAAATAAAATAAAATATAATCAATAAATAATAATAAATTCAAACTGATCAGCAACATTTAACTCAGGAGTGTTCTATAAAACATTTTGACCTACAAAACAAAAACGAATAAAACAATTTGCAGATTTTTTTAATCAAAATGAGGAAGTCAGGATTAATGGCTACAATGAGCACGTTTTGCAGTGCACGGCTTTTCGAAGCAGAGTTTGAAGCAGCTCTCAGCTCCTGCTCAATGTTTAGCTGGACCTGGACTTGGTCTTCAGTGCAGTAAATAATAATAGGAGACAATAAAGTCTCCTTGAACCCTGGACAGGTCTCAGTCCATCACAGGGACACAGAGACAAACAACCTTTCACTCTCTCACTCCCACACCTAGAGACAATTTAGAGTTACCAATCAGTCGAACATGCATGTTTTTGATCCATGGGAGGAAACTGGAGTACCAGGAGAAAACCCACGCATGCACGGAGAGAGCATGCAAACTCCACCCAGAAAGGCCCCTGGACCGAGATTTGAACCGGTGACCTTCTCACTGGGAGGCTACAGCTCTACCAACTGAGCCACCGTGTCATTTAAGAAACCATCGTAAAAATCTTAATTTAAGATGCAAATGCTTTAAAACAATCCTTAAACAACCTGTCACATTGTTTTCCACTATCTGTAGTTTTTGCTTTCTACAAGATTTAAAAAGCTTAAATCAAAATTCTGAGTCGTATTTCTACATAATTGTGTGTGTGTGTGTGTGTGTGGGGGGGGGGGGTTCATGTTCTTCTCAACATCAGAGTTTTAAGATTTTTTTTTTTGCTTTTAAAACATGAGCTTAAACAAATCAAATATAAATATGTTCTGCAGTGCAGGAACAGTTGATAATCCAAAGACTTCTTTCCTTTGATAGACTCAGTCCATGTTTGAACAAGACCCAAGTCCCGTTCTCTGACTGGTTTCCAGCAAAGCTAACCGCATTTTGTACCCGACTGACCCATTTGGAGTGATTTCTCAGCCGTGCTTTAACACAATAAAACTTTATCCTGAAACCAGCAGCCCCATGATCTCCCAAGTACAGCTCGGTGGCCACAACACGTCAGCTGCATTGTTTCGTTTATCACACGGTCTGGGTTGAGCTGCTTGTCTTTATCAGTGCCACGAAATGCAGCGATTGTTGCCTTCGTCGTTTTGTAAAGGGAAGAAAAATGTGACTGACGTTATCTGTCTCTGTCCCATCAGCGGACGCTTCCAAGAAGTCCGACGCAAACCCGCTCACGGAGATTCTGAAGAACCCAACCAAAGTGGTTCTGCTGAGGGTGCGTGTCACTGCTTCCATGAAACGCTCACATGGAACTGGCTTGAAGGAAATCTGCTGCGTTTAGTAAAACGGAGCCAAAAAACTGTCTGGATTGTTTTATTTTAATAAGAGCCAAAGTAATTGGTATTTTAAATGACAAAATGAAATGGAGTAAAACTTTCTGAAACGTTTGTTTTCCCCGTTTGTTTCACAGAACATGGTGGGCAGAGGAGAAGTGGACGAAGACTTGGAGGGAGAAACTAAAGAAGAGTGCGAGAAATATGGCAAAGTGATTAAATGTGTCATTTTTGAGGTAGGAAGACTCTGCTTCCACCGTCTAAAGTGATGAAACGCTTTGATCCAACAAAGACGTTCTTCCTCAGATTGCAGAAGTGCTGGATGACGAGGCCGTCAGGATATTCCTGGAGTTTGAGCGCGTGGAGTCGGCCATCAAAGGTCAGTATTTACTGTCACAAGAGGTCAGCTTGACGTAACGGCTTCCTTTTCGTTCAGCGATTGTATAACTGCTCTAATAACGTGGGTGAAAGTGCATCCTAATCTAAATGGCCCAGATCCAAAACAAGGAAAAACTCAAGTCCCTGTGGGGTTATGTCACAGAAGTGGCCCAGCAACCCAGCCGTCTCTCCACGGTACCACTAGAACCTGTCTTACATCACAACTCGCAGAAAGCGGGACGCACTCATTAAACAGTTTGTGCAAAAGATCAGTCGTAGACATTCATGAAAAGTACAGTGATCCCTCACTTATCCCGGGGGCTACGTTCCAGAGACCCCCCACGATAGGTGAAAATCCACAAAGTAGCGGCGATGTTTCATTTTTTGTAATCACTTCCCACACTCCTACATTCCCACTCTTTATTTAACCTTTCCCTGTAATGAATTTAGTGGAGGACCCGAAAATTCCACCAGACAATGAGCTTTATTTTGAAAAGACTAATGGAAGTCCGCCCCTGTCGGAAAAATGTGCACACCTATTGGCCGCACTTGTCTATAAGGCGCAGACAGTTTGAGTAAATGGTTTCTCGCCGCTAGTCAACCAAGCCTTCCACCGAGCTCAGAGTGTCATTTTAAATGCACAATTCACATTTGGAGTGGCTGCAAATACTTCGCTGTAAACTTAGTTTCCCCCCTCCCTGGGGGCACAATGGGGAGGGGAGGAGAGAACGTGACCCGGGAGAATGTGTGAGTGGTAGTTTCATTGGTCCGATTATTATTTTTTTTTTTACTTTTATTTATACAGGTAGTCTCATTGAGTCACGAGAACACCCCCCCCAAGAGAGACGAGTATTGGGCAGCTATGTGAGCACCCAGGTGTGACGAGGCTACCATACTTTTTGCTGTATAAGTCGCATCTTTTTGCATGAATTAGCATGCCCTGCGACTTCTTCACCGAAACGACTAATATATAGGCCTATCGCGATAATGAATCAATTAATCGCATGATAAATGAAAGTTATCAACCTCGTTTTCATTTATCGACTTTATTGTTTCTTCGTGTCTCTCTCTCTACTGAAGACACTGGATGACAAAAGACTCGACTCCGGTGTTTTTCACTGCCCCCTCCCTTTCTCATTTCTCTTTAAAATCTGTTTTAACCAGCCAAAATTGCGTTTTTGGATCGTTAAAAGCAGCTAAGCTAAGAAGCTAAACTACGACGCTAACAGGCCGACCTCTGGAAAAATAAAAAAGTCTTGTCGAAGCTCCAAAATTCACAGTTGAAACCCGTGTCTTCATGTAAAAAGTTGTTTTTCTCTGCACAAAGAAGCTGAGAACTTGTTTACTGATTTTTTTTATTAAAAGCTTTGTGTGAAAAATGCTAAAGAGCTCAAATCACACTGAGTGTCCGCCATTTTGAGAACCGAACAACAGGAACGAGTCACGTCAAGGGGCGTCCCTCCCATTTTTCGTAGAGACACACACTGCTCACTCCCTCACTATCCATCCTTCAGTTCAAACAGTCTTATACTGCCATCCAGTAGGAATGTACGATATAAACGGTACATGGTAGAAACGATAGAAATTTAGCCTACGATAGAGATCTTCCTTCTACCAGCTAACCGCAGTAATGCTGTGTCTGATGTAAAATCAGAGTTTTCAGTTTAATCGTTACTTTTTTTGTTGAAAACTGTGCACAAGTGGCGTCAAAGTCTTTTCTTTGAGAGCTAAGTAGCGAAGCTACAAGCTAATTACAGTTGACTTGCCGTAGAGTTGCCGTATTCTGACGCATGCGCAAAACTCTGTGTTCCGTCAAAAGTTGGGTTTTTTCCGTCGAAAGTTAAAAGTAAGCGTTGGTCAGCTTTAGAGAAACCTGCTCTCTGATCTGTGAAAAGAACGCTGTGTTGTGTGATTTTACTGCGAGACCCTCTGGTCAAAGCCACAGACTCATTTTGTGTCAGCTCTTCATTAAAGCGGAAGGCGTCGCCCACTAGAGGTGCCTAATACTTGATTTGTTTATTATTTAAAAACTCTCTGGACCTAGTAGTGGAATTTTCTTAATTCAAAATATATGATGGCAAAAGGACAACCTATGCTTTTTTTAGCAAGTTTTATACCAAAAACATATCACGATATATATCGTTATCGCCACCCTTCACAATACATATCGTGATATGAATTTTATGCCATATCGCACATTCCTACCATCCAGTGGTCAAAAAGGTACTACGCACAAAAATTAACAAACATTTCTTCTTAAATTTGACAATTACTAATTATTGTCAAATTTCAAACTATATTATCATTTATCACAATAATTTCTGAGACAATTAATTTCCCAGCAAAATTTGTCATCGTGACAGGTCTACTAATATACATTTTTCCCCATATTTATAACCCAAATTTTGGCTGCGATATGACAGTTTCATTAATTCTGATGTGGAAAATACTAAACACTACCATTTTCAGCCGCTAGAGGACGCTGGAGTAATATGGCAAGCCAAGTGTCTCATTAATAGGTAAAATTGGCTATTAATGAGACACTTGGCTTGCCTTACAAAGCCACCTTCGTCTCGCTTTGGAGCTTCTGGAGCAAACGTCAACTCAGCTGCATTTCACCGCACCGCCCAGGAGACTGACTGAGACTTCAGCTGAGACACACCTTTACTATAATGTCGAGCAAACAAATAATTGTTTTTATTTGTTAATCTTGTTAAATTCTTGTTAAAGTCCTCTTGCGGCCGCCATTTGGCAGCCAATCGATTTTTGGCACAACACCGGCCCACATTTCAGGGTGGTCAGCGGTGACGCATAATAGATGCGACTTATTTGGCGAATCAACTTATTTATGGTTTTTACGGTTAATGTTTTGGCACTCCATTATTTCATAACTGTGAATTTCTTGTCAAGGTGCTTTTATCAACACACCTGCCACCCTCTAACATTAAAAAAAGCTTTATTTTTCTGTCACGCCGTCAGCTTCTGCCATCGTAGTTTATTTTGAAAGGATTATAAAGTGGAATCTATGGTCCCAGGTGAGCTCAGCTTTACAGTCAGAATACAAGCATCCTCCTCCGTGTCCATCCATTGGTCTGGGGAACTTGAAGGAATTTAATACTCCCCAGCTAGCATGATTAGCTGTAGCACACGCCTCTTGTTTCATTAGAAGGATTTTCAGCTGCAGGACTTAAGTTGAGCAAACTATAATTCACAACAAGTCTCAGCTGGTTTTTAGGCAAAAGAATGAAACAGGAAATGGTTGTAAATCATAAAGCAGAATCTGAGATTAGCAGCCCTGAAGACGCTTTCTCTGCTTTCAGACAGCTTCTTGTTGCACTGAACAAAAGTGAAGGATGAAATCAAAATGCACTGTAAGAAGCTTGAATTACTGCAGGTTAGTTTTCCGTTGTTTATTTAACTGGCTGGTGGAAGTTGGCTTGATTGACTATTCAAAGAAAAACTTAATTAATCAATAATTCAAGTGTTTTTGATTAAAACACACCATCGCACAACAACTAGGGTTTATTTTAACAAAGCGCTGCTTACACTACCACAAGGTGACAGTAATACACCAAGTTATTTCCAAATCACTGTAGTTTCTTCCAGGCAGGGTGCGATTTTCAGCACAACACCTGCCCCGAAAAACTTTGAAGTGATCCATGTCCGTTTCTGCCACACTTTTATTTGGAAAGAATTAGGAAGTGGAAACAGCAGTGATGGATGAACTACACCTTAACTGCTAGAACACGTGCCCCCCCCCCCCCCTTCACGTGAACGTGTTAAACTGATGGAAATGAAGGAACACCAATACTGTATCCTGACTCGCATGTGTGTGTGAACCTGCATCCTCTGTTTCATCAGAGAGGGTTTCTCAGTGGCAGGACTTGGATCAGACTCCTAGTGCTGAAAGTATTTGTTGAGTTTCTTGATTATGAAAACTCCTTAAGGCCCAACCTTTTGATTTGATGCTTTGCTTTATCCATATGACTGCACACGCCTTGTAATAAGCGTGTTTCGCTGCATGCTTACACTCCGCTTCTTGCATTAGAGGGATAAAAAGTAACACGGGGACATTTAGTGGAGTAAGAGCAAAGGTTTGGGAGTGTTTCAAAGAAATTGAAATGTACATAAGAGAAATACTGAATTCTATAGTTACCCACAATCCTCACAGATATAACTGGTCTTTGCAGAAGGACTAACAGATGCAGCTTCCTGAATCATCCTTGCAGCAGATGGAAAAGTCTGGTGACCCTGCGTGTTTACACGAGGATTTACAGCTTGCCACAACAGGAAGCAAAGTCTTGCTTTACTGACTCCGACACGTTTTTATAATAGTCTCTCAACAAGGAGGAGGAGCTCGGCCGCTTTCAAACTAATTCAGTGTCAAAGAAATATGAGCGCAGACAAAAGATCTGAGAAAGTCAAAGGAGAAAATGTTGCACCCAGGCAGGTCAAACAGAGGTTTAGGTCGTTCTCTCAGTCGTATGTTCTTATCACAAACACCCTCGTACAAAACAATACCATAATGAATGATGATGGTTTTCTCAATAGAGAACTGGAAAAATCAAAATTAAAACTGGTTTCTTGTTCTGACGCTCCGCAGCTAATTTCTAACTGACTTTAGCAAACATGAAATGTCTGACTCGCATATTGACATCAACAGATATTGAGGTAAAGTTAGGTGTGGTAGTAGCAAAGAGTCCTCCCCATCACGTGCTCTGAGCACTAATAGATGACATTTCCTAAAATCACTGGAGTCGCAGTATCAGAAACTGATCTCTAGGATTAAATTGTTTGGACTTCTATCCAGCTGTTTTCTAATCCAACCCATGGTTTGTGTTGTAATTATAATGCCTCGTGAAAATTGATAATATTCATTTGGTTTAATCTGAAGCTGCAGCTTTAACGCCATCACATAAATCTATAAAATAATACAGAAAACAACCATTTGTGGATTTATTAGGTTGCAATATTTACCCTGGTATAAAAAAACATTTAATTTGATCAAATTTCATGTCAAACAGTAAATCTCGATTACAAAAAAAACGAAGATTAATAAATTTTAGAGCTTATCTTCCTACTGTTGCTCCTTATTTGTATTTTTACCTGAACAGAAACCGACGTGTTGTCTCCTTTTTCCTGCTTTTATGCTAAACTGAACATCTCCTTCTTGCAGTTTCATATTTAGGGGTCATGTGTCATTAATAATAATAATAATAATAATAATGTCATCACAATGTCAGCACTGTATGTTTCCATACAATGGCGAAATTAGTCTCTGCATTTAACCCATCCACCACCAGGTGGTGCAGTGGGCAGCTATTGAAAGCGCCCGGGGGACATTTTGGGGATGAGACGTGCTGCCCAGAGACGCCTCAGACCAAATATTCCTTCAGAAGTTAAGCGGATTTACTTTTTCACCACTCTTGCCTTGTTTTCTTACAATATTTGCAGCTACGTCCACCCTGTCTTCACTGTTGAGAGTTTTTTGTTCAGTGTCATCGCTTCAATGAGAATTGCTGCAGTGCAATGTGCGTCGGCGAGAACAGAGCGACTGCTGTGAATCTTTTTTGTCCTTTATAAAAGAGTGTTAACGTTGTCGTCTGGGTGTTTTTGTAGAAAACATTCGTGTCGAGAAACGACACGAGTTTTGTTTCCTCCGGTTACCTAGAACAGGACAAGAATAAGAAACAGACTGACTAATGTTTCTATTTGACCCCAGTTGTGGAGCGTTTGGAAATGCCCTTCGTCTGTTCGTCCGTCTGTCTTGAGAGCTGGATGACTTGAAAAATATGTGAGATACTGACTTCCATTTTGGTGTGTGGCTGCATGTATGTAGGAAAGGTCTTTATCGAACATTTGGTTGACATATCAAAATCCAAGATAGCCACCAACGCCCACCAAATATATATCCATCCATCCAACCATTATCTTTAACCCGCTTCTTACTTTTTGGATCATGAAGGTCACTGGTGTCCATGTCCAGCAGCCTCTGTACGCGAGGCGGGGGACACCCTGGACAGTTCTCCAGTCCATCACAGGGACACATAGAGACAAACGTGACAAACATTCACTGTGTCACTCACGCCTAGAGACAATTTAGAGTTACCAATCAATTTGTTACCAAACAGCAAAAATGCATGTCTTTGGTCTGTGGGAGGAAACTGGAGTACCTGAAGAAAACCCACACATGCACAGAGGGAACATGCAAACTCCACCCATAAAGGTCCACGGCTGGGATTTGAGCTGGCAACCTTCTTGCTGAGAGGCAGCAGATCTACCAACTGAGCCACCATGCCACCTAAATAATATGTAATAGATTATAATTATATATATGTCAGTGTTTCCCCTAGATAACTTGCCATGGTGGGGCACTCATCTCATCCGAGATTTTTGTCGACAGATGGTGTGTGGTGGGGAGACATGTCTGAGCTGCGCGCTGTTTGTGCCGACAGTTTTCGAACGGGGGTGTGGGATGGTTCGGCGTGAGCACTGTCATTCCCCAATCTGTTACGGGACCCGATCCGTAGTGTAGCTCATTTGCGCTAAAGTGAATACTTCTGGGTCGCACAGATCGCCGTTGAATATGCTAGATTAAGGAAAATGTACTGGCATAATTCTGTTTTTGAATAAGAACTGTCTTAATTTACTTAGAAAAGTATGCGCTCTATCTCCGCCGATTTTCAAGTTACTAATTTACAGCACACGTATTTCTTTTAAAATCACTGACATATTTACATCATGGTTGAATTGATATGCAGCTTCACCACTGAGCAACGCTGTTTCACCATGGAAATAATTAATTCGGTATCCTGCAGGGTTTTTCTCATTCAGTCCAGGCTGGGGTTCAGGTCTAATGCATCGCATATCATCTTAACCAATGATTTGTAGTTGAAATACGAGTGGCGTAAATTAGCTACATCAAGATTGGTGGAGATAGAGCACGTACTTTTATAAATGAATTATTTATTCATAAACAACAGCGATCCGTGTGACCTGGAAGTACACTACGGTTCATGCTTCTGTAACAGATTAGGGAATGACAATAGCGCTGCCTTTTACTTTATAGCTAGCATGCTTGTATTGCGCGCTACTAGCTTAGTGCTACGTCAGTGCTGACGGGGGGCAGGGGGGTTACGTGCAATTCGGTTTGGTAGGTGGGGCGCTCAGTTCTGTTGATGGGGCAGGGTGCCCCCACTTGTATAATGGTAGGGGAAACACTGTATGTATTATATATATTTTGTGTGTGAGTGAACTAGCCACCCATATTATTTGAGAAACTTATGATTTCTAGTTTTTATATTGCTTAAGAATAGTTTCCTCAAATGAATGGGGTGGCTGAAGATTAATCTATGGTGGTCAAGGCCACCATTCACCACCCTCTGGCTCCACCACTGCACCTGGCGGTGGATAAAGTTGCTCCCTCCACTCAGCAGGATCCACCACTCTGTGCTGTTTCAGACAAGAAAAAATAACTCCCTCTCTTCTTCTCCACAGTAACTCCTGCCAACTTTAATATCTTGCACTAAAAACATTAAGGTTTACTTCATTTTCTGTTCAGTTCCAGTCCAGAAAAACACTCCCCTTGAAAACAACATTCACCATTGAAACGTGTGGTAGCTGTAAATGTTTACAAAAAGAACCAACATGGAGGAACTGTGGGTTCAGTCTGACTCTAACCTCTGTGTCCTCTGCAGCCGTTGTGGATCTCAATGGTCGTTACTTCGGAGGACGAGTCGTCAAGGCCTGCTTCTACAATCTAGACAAGTTTCGGGTTCTGGATCTGGGCGAGCAGGTGTGACGTCACCGACGGACACCAGGAGTTCACGTCGACCCCATTTGTACATTTATTTTTTATATAAATATGTCCCAAACTTCAATGTGTAGTACTAACAAGTCCATCTTCAAGTGTTTCTTTCTGTCAAGACAAAATAAAAGGTGTAAAGGATAATCCGTGTACTTTTCACCTTTATTTATCTGTGGAACTTGTAAACATCCTGAAAGCTTCCGCTTTCCCAGAAACCTAGTTTCCCTGTATGAAGTTTGTGACCTAACACTGAGTTCTTTGATTATGGTAATATGTCCTTGGGGTGTGAGAGTCCCAACTTAGCCCTGCTGGATTAAAGGAAGGGGTCCAGGACGGTAACGCAGCCTCATTCAGGACTTACGTAAGTGAGCCGGGGGACCCTGGGGGTTCCAGTTATCAGCGTCAAACGACCTCCCGCAGCTTTAATTCAGATCATTGAAACGGGTTGTTGAAGCAGAACTGAGAGGACAGGATTTTATTATTGTTCCTGCAGCAGGGCAAAGAGTGAGGAGTATAAACACTGTGGGGAGACAAAAACATTAAAGTTCGTTCAGTTATCACAGAAGCTGGAACAAAAACATCTGTTTTATCTAAGAGCAGACGGCGGTACATCTGCATTGATCTTTATTCTGGTTGACCCCTCCGACGCTTCCTGCTGTCTCTTGTTCAAGGCCACTTTAAACGCTTTCAAATTTGAAACGTGTTCGAGAAATAAAACGAGACGTCCGAGTCAAATGAACCGTGTCCTGAACGTGCACTGTGGCGTCTGGCTGGCCTCGACACCCACATACCAGCATGCATAACTTAACATGAGCCTGGAGTAAACAGCTTCAGTGAAATCAGTAATCACATCCTCGGCTGTAGGAAGTATAAATACTCCTTTTAGCAGAAAGTCTGACATGTGGATCAGGGTTTCATCATGCACTGCCTGTTTGATACAGCAACTCTCACTGTTTTCCAGTTTTATTGGCTTTAAATTACTCAACCGTCGGTCGTTCCATATCTGTGGCCCACACGCCTTAAATGGCCCTCAAAGCAGCACACCCAGTTTATTAGATGCACCTCACTAGAACTGGGTTGGACCTCCTGCCTTCAGAACTGCCATGTTGAAAACATTCCTCAGAGAATTTGGTCCATATTGACATGACATCATCGCTCAGGTTAGTCAGCTGCACGTCCATGATGCGGCTCTTCTGTGTAGCTTTAGCTGACAGGAAGTGTCACCCGGCGTGTCTTCGGCTGCTGCAGTCCATCTGCTTCAAGGTGGGACGTGTTCAGTTCTGCAGACCTTCGTTGCAACAAGTGTTTACTTCACGGTTGCTTTTTTTCTTCCCATTTCAAACCAGTTTGCCCATTCTCACCTGACTTTTGAAGTTAACAAGGCTTTTTTTGTCCTCCCAGCTGCTCACTGGATATTTCCTCTGTTCTGGACCATTATCTTTAAATCTTAGAGACGGTTGTGTATGAATCCCAGTAGATCAGGGGTCAAACACGTTTAGCAGCAGCAACCACACATTCAAAGTTGAAATCCTCTTTGTGCCATATTCTGATGCCCAGTTTGAATTCAGCGAGTCGTCTTCACCTCGTCTACAAACATAAAGGCGCTGAGTTGCTGCCATGTGATTGGCTGATCAGGCATTTGTGAGAACAAGCAATTGAACAAGTGAAATAAAAAAGTGGCGTATGTGTATAATTTTTTTTTCTTTTCTAAATTAAATCTTGAGGCAATTGAAAACTAAACCTATTTTATCTTCTTGTTTCCAAGAATGAAGGCTGCCCCGTGTTTTGGTTTAAAATAAAGCTTCTTGTTTCTTCATTGTAGTACAAATACAGTATTTTTTACAGATGATAGTAAGATTACAGGTTGTACGACAGAAATGTACTGAGGATTAAAGCTCAAAAAAGAGAAATGGTGACGATAAATGTTTTATTTTAATTTTTTTAACAAAAAGAAAGTTAATTTTCACAAGTATCCATTGGAATAAAAAAGTAACTATATTTTTACTTTTTTTTTTTCAAGGTTTATTTTTATTTTTTTGCAAATAATGTATCATTTGAAAAAACAAAACTGCAAAAGTGGCATGACTTATAGGTTCGTTTGTTTGTTGTTTACAAACAAACAGTGAATCATTAACAAAACTTAGCTATACGATGTAAAACAAGCCAACCTGAGCAAACCTTCCTCTGAACGGTAAATATGAATGTTAATAATAATAATTAATTAGTGATGACACTACTCCACCAGACCTGTTCCTTTAAACGCTCCTGAGAGTCAAGCTTTTGTTTGGTGTGCACTTTCTCTTACTTCAAGATCCATGGGATTAGTAGGATAAGTTAAATTCCTGAACTCTGTTGTGCTACAGGAAGTAGTGTTAGAAAAAAATGATGTCCTCATATGAGGACAGTAGGTTTTATTGCATTTTATATTTTTCTTTGCAAATTGGGTTCAGAAGGTCCCAATTACTCTAAAAACTAAATTTCAGCTTTCATATATATTATGATAAGCAGTTTTCTAAAAGAATCAATGTCCTCATATGAGGATCAGGTCTCCCTTGTAGATGAGTCCCAAGGCTCAGTGGGATTAACCTGTCTAAATAAAGGTTGAATTAATGAGGAGGGTCTCAGGATTTGCAATTCAGTTTATTTATATAGCGCCAAATCACAACAAAGTTGTCTTGGGGCACTTTACAGGAACATTCACATAAAAGCCAATTAGTAAAGTTCTCTATCTATAAGATTTAGCAAAAAGGAAAGTCTTAAAACTGGATAATGTGTCAGCCTCACGGACAGAAACTGGAAGTTGGTTCCACAAGAGAGGAGCCTGATAACCGAAGGATCTGCCTCCATTCTGTTTTTGGAAACTCTAGGAACCGCGAGTAAACCCGCAGTCGAGAAAAGCAAAGTGCTCTGTTAGGAAAATATGGAACAATAAGATCTGTAATATAAGATGGAGCCAGGTTGTTGAGAGCTTTGTAGGTTAGAAGTAAGATTTTGAATTCTATTCTGGATTTGACAGGGAGCCAATGGAGAGAAACTAAAACTGGAGAAATATGATCTCTCCTACTAACTCTAGTTAAGACTCTGGCAGCATCATTTTGGATCAACTGAAGACGTTTTAAAGAAGTTTTTGGACATCCAGATAATAAACCATTGCAATAGTCCAGTCTAGACGTGTCAAATGCATGAACCAGTTTTTCTGCATCATTTTTAGATAAGAAGTTTCTAATTTTAGTGATATTACGCAGGTGGAAGAAGGCAGTTCTAGTAACGTTTTTAATGTGGGGGATAAAAGACATGTCCTGATTAAAAAAAAAAAAAGATTTTTAACATTAGAGCTGGAGGACAGATTAATGCCATCTAAGGAGGGTTCCTAAGGTGCTCAGGTCTAAAAACCAAAACTTCTGTCTTGTCTGTGTTCAACAGGAGAAAATTAAGGGTCATCCAGGTTTTTATGTCTTCAAGACATGCTTGTAGTCTAAGTAACTGATTGGATTCATTGGGTGTAATGGACAAATATAATTATGTGTCATCAGCATAACAATGAAAATTTATCCCATGCTGTTTAATAACTTTACCTAATGGAAGCATATATAAAGTAAAGAGTATTGGCCCAAGCACTGAGCCCTGAGGAACTCCACGACTAACTTTGGTGTATGAAGAAGATTTATTATTTACATTTACAAACTGGAATCTATCAGATAGATATGATTTAAACCATTTTAGAGCCGTTCCTGTAATCCCAATATCATATTCAAGCCTCTGTAGTAAAATATTGTGATCAATTGTATCAAATGCAGCACTGAGGTCTAACAGGACCAGTATAGACACAAGTCCATTGTCTGAGGCCATGAGAATATCATTAGTGAATTTTACTAGTGCTGTTTCTGTGCTATGATGAGCTCTAAACCCTGACTGAAACTCTTCAAACAGATTATTTCTTTGATGTTCACGCAACTGACCTGCAACTATTTTCTCTAGAATTTTTTAGATGAAAGTTAGATTAGATATAGGCCTATAGTTGGCCAGAATTTCTGAATCAAGGTCAGACTTCTTAAGTAAAGGTTTAATTACAGCAACCGTAAAGTGCTGTGGTACATAACCATTCATTAAAGACAAATTAAGTAGATCCAAAATGTGGACATTAATTAGGGGAAACACCTCTTTAAACAGTCTGGTTGGGATGGGATCTAGCAGACATGTGGATGGTTTGGATGAGGTTATTATTTTTGACAATTCAGAGAGCTCAACAGGACAAAAACTGTCCAAACATAAATCAGGCTCTGGTGAAATTTTGAAAGTTGTCTCATTTGACAGGGGACTGGAGATAGCAGAAGGAAGGATGGTTTGAATTTTCTCTCTAATTGAAATAATTTTATTTATAAAGAATCTCATGAAGTCATCACTACTTGTAGTTGTAGGGATACATGGTTCAACAGAAATGGGACTTTTAATTAATCTAGCAATTGTACTAAACAGAAACCTAGGGTTGTTTTTATTCTCCTCTGTTAAAGAAGAGTAATATAAAGTTCTAGCGTTACGGAGAGGATGTTAAGAAAAAATGGCTCCTCTTTGGGAGGACATTGGTTCAGAAGTTTTTATTCATCAGTTTCAGTTCATCCATTTGCTGCAGTGATGATAAACATAATTTAATAACTTTCAGATGTTCACTTGTTCATAAACAGTTGCTGAAAGTGTGAAGCAACCCCAAACCATAATGTTCCCACCACCGTGCTCCACAGTTAGAGGGTGAATGTATGTTCCTGTACGGCCCTGTCTTTGCCTGTACTGGCAAACCTGTACAAATATTTGTTTTAAACATTTTTCTCCTTATCTCACAAACTTTTGCTCTCACTTCTGTTTGTACAGTACAAGAGTTACTTGGTTGGATTGTTTGAGACTTCTTGGACCATATTTGGCCTCAACTTTATCTCGAAACGCCTTAAAGAGCTTTACACATCTTGTACCGAACACACCGCTGTATGCCAAACACAGCCAGGGGGTCGATGACATTGAAGATTTAAATTTAATGGTATAATTTTGAGGCCGTGAGGAATTCATGTGTTTTAAAACTCAAATATCAATTCTGTGTGTTCTGTTTGGGATTACCAATACTTTTGTAAGCATTACTCCAATTATGATCAAGT